TCTATTTCGAAAATGTTCTGTAACTTTTTACTGCAATTGAATATGCCAAAACGCAGACACGTTTTTTAAGCGCTTTGGGCCCTGAAACCGAGGAAAAAACTAAATTGGCGAAAAACGAAATTCGCTTTGACTTGTAGTTTTCGAAAGGTGATTCGGGCGCTCGCATTTAGTGGTCGTGAAAAATTCGTCAATTCATTTTCTTTCAAAATTCTTGGTATAGTTTGATAGCCAGCTCCATAAGCTTTAATTTGATACAGGAGTTTAGGTATCTACAGCTTAAACTGCACGCGCTACATCGCTTGCGCGCGAGACACCCCTGAAGGTATAATGTAACCTTAAGAACGCAAGCGCGATGAACGCGAACGGGACCGTTAAGTGAGTTGTGAAGAAAAGATGCGGCAATATAAGCAGGGCTTGCAAGAGCTCGATATCTGTTTAAACGGAACACAGCTGGCCCTAGCTTCTCGTTAAGCGCTCCGTTTGAGTTGACAGACTGTTGAGCATCCGTCTGGGGGTCACAAATGGTGAACCCATTCTTCAGAAAAAGCTCAACAATTCTAAAATTCTGCAAACAGGCTGCGAGGGTCAGTGGTGTGATGTATCTTTGACGTTTTACACCGAGGCACCTCACTACTCCAGGAGGATCTGTTTGAATTGATGGGATTCCATGAAATCTAAGCAAAATTTCTACACATTTCACGTCACTCTCACGTACTGCGTGCAACAAAGCGAGTTCCAAGTCGGCTCCACCGCTCAGTAAGGATTTGATAATGTTGTTCCGAATGGATACGTCTTCTAAATCCGCCGCTACCCGCAGAACTGTTTTGCCAGAGTTATTAACACAGTTGATGTCGCATTTTGGCCGAACGAACTTAATTCACGTCTTACTGTCTCCAAATGTCCTTTCTTTATCGCTTCGAAAAGCTTTCGTTCCATCTTGCGAATTGATTGCCGTCTAGTACCATCCACTTTCATATGAAGTTCTTGTGAGGTAAATGTCTCTCACATCTATTGAAGTTACGTACGGTAATTACGATCTTTCGATTGTTTTTAAGCCTTCTTAGTTGATTGCCTATCTTTGTCTTTGGCTGGCCACTTAACCTCAGTTCAGCAATCTGAAAAAAATTATTTCATCTTGCACAAATCATCACTATGTGGGGCCAACGTTATGTGGCGCGAACCTGAATTTAAGAGGATAAGAGATTGAAAGAACTTTCCAAAGCAGATGTACGGAGATTTTTTCGATTGTTTTTAAGCCTTCTTAGTTGATTGCCTATCTTTGTCTTTGGCTGGCCACTTAACCTTAGTTCAGCAATCTTCCTACGACAATTTTAACTTAACTTCCCAGTTCAAGGCAAGTTGAGCCCCTGGCATTAAACATTCACACATAAAATGAAGCTTTTGTTCCCATGGTAAGGTTCAAATGCTTAGTTTGGCTGGACATGACAGGTGGTACATTAAATATATATGCACATAATTTTATGTTGTTTTGGGCAATTGAACGGTTAACTGACCTTAATTCTAATTACGCTGAGATTTATCCACATGGATTTCTGGTGTATAAAGTGTTGCGTTACAAGATTAAAAGGGAAAAATTTTAAAACCGATTTGTTAGCTAGTAATTCGTATAGTGTGATCGTCAATGTGAGTGTAGTTCTGAAAAGAACTGTTGTTGGTGACTGACGTTTCGACAACCTGAGCGGAAGTCATCTTCAGAGTCAAGTGAATAGTGTTTGTCAGTC